GTAGTGTACAGCATCGATTTCTGTGGAACCCAGTAGCTGTCAAAACTTTCACATTTTTACGAATAACTCGGAAATCGTAAATTTTTCAGGTAAAACGTTTGACACAAACTTAACTTAAATTTTGACGACAAATCTGAAAATGAATGAAAAAAGGGGCGCTTCCATTTAAAAAACCAAAGTTGGTAACTACCACACGTTTATGATACACCCCGTATATTGGAAAGTAATTTTAGAATGTGGACCTTTTAAACATGAAAAACTTTCGTAGGACGTATTTTCTTGTAAAGTTCATATTTACTGAGATATCGCACTTTGACGCACTAATGAGCAACAAAATATGAACTTATTTACAAAAAAAAAACATTTTGTCGTTAATTTCAACATCCTGTATGAAATGAAATCCTGAAAAGGAAGCATTTTCAGTTTCTTCTTAAGGTCACTCAGAATACTGGTACTTGAATAACACTCTGTATATAATATTCGAAATATTCCTAGAATGATCAAAATGAATGAAATAAATGAAAATGCATTTCCATTTCTATTTGAAAATAACTGCTTTTAAACATTTAACCATTTATTACTTAAACAATGTAGCAAACAAAAACATGTACTTATTTATTTTTGGTACTATAGATAGCTAAAGTTAAACCGCAATTTTAGAATTCGTGCGTTGTTTAAATTCTATATAGATTTATGAATAATTAAATATATTTAAGTAGTTCCTTGCAGATTGATGTTGGAAACAAAAAAAATGTATCCAGGCTGTTGGAAACAACCTGGAAGAAAATCTGTTAATAGTTACAATTAATCAAAGTCACATGAGATGCAATTGCAATCAATGCATCTCAGATGGTAATATGCTTGATATATTCTCGTTTCTTGTTTTTAGGGAAAGTTAGTAAAGCTATTTTCTCAACAATTAGTAGCAAAGTCGAAATTGGGGATCGGCACCGGCGTCGGTATCCCTCATCTCAAACAATGGCTTCAAATTGTTGGTCTAGGAACACATGCTGTTACTGTGATTAGTCAGAAAGTATCTTCAGTAAGTATAATATAACTGATAATTATTTACTTATACATACTATAATAAAAAATATATAAAAGTATGTGACATTAATCATTATTGTCAACGACTTTTTCAGGTTGAAGAATTGCAGGAAAAAACTGAACATGAACTGAAGATTTGGCTGGCTGATAAGCAGACAACCTATGAGGAGTTCTATCGGCTTTGTAGAGCGTTACATAATTTGAAAAAATATACCGGTAAGAAAGATTTAACAATTTTTAATCATAAAATGTATATTTTAACTGAGTATCGTGCTAATTGTTCTAGATATTTTGAAACGCGACGATCAAGCTAGCCAGGAAACCCAAGACTGCAACCTATCATGGGACTCCTGGGATGTGAGCTATTTGGAAATGAAGCAGGGTCTTTCGCCAAGAGCATTACGAACACGTGCTACTCGTGCTTCAGTTCCTTCAGAAGAAAACCTATACAACAACAATCATAAATTGAGTCCGCTAATTGCTCCAAGTGCTTCAGTTTCGAGTATTAATATACAAAATGCTACTAGTATAGTTCTGGATCCCCCACTCACCTCTCCTGAGCCGAATGTTTTTAGTCCACAAAAAGAAACGGGCAAAGGTAAGGCAAATGGTTTTTTCATAAAGGTAAATTCGTTCACAGGTTGCAATAGCTCGATAATTTTTAAATAATGATCTGTCCCTCGTCAAAAATTACTTCCATATGTTCCTCTTTCTGGCTAAGATTAGACTGCGTGTGAAGATATAATGTGTACATTATTTCAGAGAGAAAGTTTCCTACTCCACCTGCCAAAAGAAAGCAATTGGTGAGCAATTCTTCTACGTTCTTAACTGACTCCTTTCCACTTACTAAAAGTAAGTCGCATGAATCCCAGCTGGCCGATAACAAAAATAATGGAGAAAGTATCATAATCAAGTAAGTTGTTGGCTTAAGTATAGTGAGATGTATTTTGAAAATTCTTCAACATTTGATAGCATTTTCACTGACCTGGGAAGCATTTTTAAATTTTTTATTCTTGCAGTGAAATTAGAAGTTCTGTTCGAAGGGGTAGATTGTCAACAGAGCCTGGTCCCGAAACGATAGGCTTCAACAGCCCTGTATCGACTAGTCCAATAAAGTCACCCCCATTTAACAGCACTGGAAACGATAGTGATGATTCATCTAGCCATAAATGTAAGTGTTTTTTTTTTCGGTTAGGTTTGGAAAATGCTATTTAATTTTAAGAGTTCCTACTCTAGAGTAGATGCTTATATGATTCCAGTTGTTAAAACGGTTTTGTCATAAGAGCATAAATAATTTTTGAGGATGAAGAAAATAAATTAAAAATATTTAGTTCTCTAACATCATAGCTTTTTGGATGATAAAGATTAATTATTTTGCAGTTGGTCTAATATTCACGTAAGTTCAAGTGTCGCAAATAGTTTTCCTTGCTACACTCCAAAATCACATTTCAGAGTATTTTAATATAAATACATATATCATATAAGGTTACTGTAAAATACAATATTACTTTATTTCATAGCAATGAGGTTGCAAGTCCCTAAATCACCCCAAACTCCTCCGGTCAAAGGCAGTATGGCACATCAGATAGCTCATCGTTTTACAAAAACTTTTAAACTTTCCACGGACTGTGATCTGTGTGGTTTGAAAATTTTTGGAAAGGCTCTAAAGTGCAGTGAATGTAAATATTCGTGCCACCGCGAATGCCAAGAGAAAGTTCCTGCCACTTGTGGCCTGCCTGCTGGTTACCTAACTGCATTTATCCAAAATTATGCAGGATGTAAAGGTAAGGATTTCGGTAAGTCATACTCAATTTTCATTGGATTTTTTAAATGAAGAAAGTAATTCATGTGCATCGTAAATTGTAATTTTAGGTGTTAATAGTTATTCTCCAACGGGTGCTCGTACAAAAAAATCCAATAGCATTGTAAATTCACTTGCCAGAGCAGGACACAGAAAAGGATCTCATCCATCGCCAGCTATTAACAACACTCCATTTCCGGTAAGTAGTAATTAACATTCATTGGTCATTCAGTTTTCGATCAATCCTCGGAAAAGAGCCTGGATAGTTCTATCCAAGGTTGAAATCGATCTACTTACAAGAGTTGTTTGATAAGTCAGTGACTTTTTGAATGAAATAATTTTTTTGCATCCAAAAAACGTTTTATTTTACAGCGTCTTTTCAATATTTGTCTCTCTTCCAAATAATATAATTTCTCGAAGTTCTCAAAATATGCTTTTGTTTCAATGATGACCTCTTCTTATCGCCCAGCCATTTCTTCAGATTTGGAAACAGGAAATAGTGGCAGGGGGCTAAATCTGGAGAATATACTGGGTGGAGTCGCAGTTCATAGCCTAATTCATGGCTGTTTGCCGCGCCAGTGATCGTTTTACCCTTTTCAAGATAATCGATGTGAAAGACACCGCGTGCATCCCAAAAAACTGTGGTCATCACCTTATTGGCCGACAGATCCATTTTGGCCTTCTTCGGCGCACGTTCACCTGAAGAAACCTACTGTTTTAATTGTTCTTTGGGCTCTGGTTTGCTGTGATGGATCTACGTTTCGTCAACATTTTACGAAACATGGCAATAACTCGTTCGGATAGCGACGGAACGTCGTTAAACATTCATTTGAAATGGGCACACGCGAGCGCTTATGGTCGTTTATTATCGCGGCACCCATCGCGCGGATAGCTTTTTCATATCCAAATATTCATGTGAAAGGTGATCTACCCTCTCAGTTGAGATGCCTACAGCCTCAGCCACCTTTCTGATGGTCCAGTATCGTTCCATGGATTTTATCAATCATTTCTGGCGTAAAAACCATGATGGTTAATGGTGCAGAGTCCCCATAGTACTTATCAAGATTTTCCTTCGTTTCTCGATCTTCGATCTGCTTTTTTACGTATAAAATAATGCTTGATTAGCGCTCGAAATTCACTTTTTTCTCTTTTCAATGGCTGTTCAACACGAACTAAATGGCGTAGTGTGCTCAAAATTTACAGCAGTCTACTAACAGACGACAGTTGAGGGGAATAGTGTTGAATTTAAAGTTACACCGCGAGAAATTCAAAACGTCACTGACTTATCAAACGACCCTCGTATTTATTTGAAATGTGCTTGGAAATGGTTAAAGTTGTCCATAATTAATTTATGTTTAAGTTACAATAAAGAGTTTATTTCTTTAGCCCCACGACAGTAGTTCTAATACATCAAGTTGCAATAGTTCGACTCCTTCAAGTCCTGCCGTACATAATTCCACAACACCACATGGCAGTCAAAAGCAGTTTCATTTTCCAGGTACGCAGCAGATTAAAATTTTTTCATTTTAAACAATATTTAATCGATTATTTCAAATCTGCTTAACTAAAGTTTAGTCAAAAAACAGTTGAGCAATTTATTTTAAATAAGTCAAAAATAAGCTGCTTTATTTTTCGACACACTATCCGATGCCAAAGTAAAATTTAGCTGAATTGTTGGAATCGGTTTATTTATTTTGCAGTTCTAGCAATTTCGTTCACGATTGCTCCGTAAATCAATTGCTATAAAAGTGTTTATTCTCCACAATAAAATTGTTATTAACTTGACACTATGGACAACTATTATTTTTCACTGGTATAATCTAATTTCAGATATAGTTCATTCCGAGCCAATAAAAGAGGTATCTGTTGAAGCTAATAATCACAAAACTGTTAGTAACCAACTATCAAAAGAAAGCGACAAAACTATTTCACAGGCATCAAACAGTAACAGCTCAGATTCTGATCGAACGCCTGTACGATTAGACTCACAAGACAGTCAGGTTTCTGATACTGATACTATGACGGACACTCAAATGGCTCGACAGAATAGCGTATGTATTTTATTAATTACAAATATTCTAATGGCTTTCTTTGACTTCTCTTTACTACGCATCCACTTATTTATTTCAGTTATCTCTGAAAGAGTGGGACATTCCATACGACGAACTGAAAATGTTTAAAGAAGTGGGCGCGGGAAGATTTGGTACGGTTTTTCGAGGCCACTGGCATGGTGACGTGGCGATAAAACTTCTCAATGTGAAAGATGATAAGACTTTAGAACAATTTAAAATGGAAGTTGCAATTTTTCGTAAAACTAGACACGAAAATCTGATGCTTTTTATGGGAGCGTGCATGAAACCTCCCAAATTGGCCATTGTCACCAGTTTCAGTAAAGGAAACACGTTATATACCCACATACATCTAAGGAAAGACAAGTTTAACATAAATAGAACAACTACTATGGCTCAACAAATTACTCAAGTAAGGAAAGAGAAATCGCAAAATTGCCAAAAAATGCGAAATGCATGGTTTTTAGGGTATGGGATATTTACATGCCAAGGGAGTAATACATAAGGACTTGAAAACTAAGAACATATTCTTGGAGAACGGCAAAGTTGTGATAACCGATTTTGGTCTTTTCAGTGTAACTAAGCTGTGTTTTGGACCCAGGTGAGTAAAACCGTTCAATCATTGATTCTAATGCTAATCGCTGCTTGTGGTAATAGGACGGAAAGCCTAAGTATTCCTCCTGGCTGGCTGTGTTACTTGGCTCCTGAATTAATGAGAGCACTAGATGCCCATAGATTTCAAGAAAAAGAATTACCATTTAGTACTGCGTCCGATGTGTATGCTTTTGGGTAAGTTGCGTAAAGTACATAGAAAATACGGTAGTAGTTGACGTCTGATCAAAATAAGTAGACAAAAACTTGCAATCTTCAAATAAAAATGTGTACTTCAATATACACGGTTACCGAATGCTTTCTTATTTGAAAAAATAATCCAAGGTGACAATAAAAAAATGACCACTAGAAAAAACTCCAATCAAATGTTTAATTTTCAATAAAAACAAAACTTATCAACAAAGAACAACAAACAACTATTTCGACTACAACAGCCTCTCGGCCTGTTTCGAAGTGGCCCCCTTGCGCGTCTCGGGTCTCGGTAGAGTACCAAACGCTGTCAAGAATTTTCTGTTGCGCCACACACTTCTTCCGGCGAAATCGGTCCCATTCCCGACGCAGCGACTCCAAAGTTTTGTGGCGTGTAGCACTGGACCTGGTCTCCAAAATATAAACACTGTAGTCCAGGGTTGGCTTGATTTTTTTCAAGTGATTTAAATCACCTGACTTTTTTGGAAAAAAATCACGATTTAAATCAAAGTTCATTTTTTCAAGAAACTTTATATTTCCACTCAAAAAATATAAAACAGAACACAAATAATTCTAAGAAATGAAAATCAAAATAGAAAACGGTACATGTGAACTTAAAAATTAAACGGTATTAATGGTAAACTCAATAATACTAAAACGGAAATCACTTCTCTTCTCTTCATTTTCGTTATAAAGTCTGAAGAGGAACACTAATCTCTCTCCTTTTTCGATTCCCAATCTGTTCCTGATATCCGAATGAACAAATCCGAATGTGCTGAACATCTTTTCGACAGACGCAGACGATGCGGTTGCACAAAGAAACGGTTTTACAGTGCGCAAGTGTTTCGCAATTTCCGGTTCATCTCTCGGTGATAGATTTTTCAGCATCTCATCAGAAAACATAATTTATTTGAAAGGACTGCAGCGAGCGTTGAATTTAATAACTAGTGGCAACAATCCCAAATTTCCATGTAGCTCACTGATAGTGTCCAAAGCCATAGTCTTCTCTTCAGGAGTTAAAGCGTAGTTTTGTTTCTCCGAGCTTAACATGTAAGCAATAAATTGATAAGGTGTAAGAGCTTGCTTATAGCGATGTTGAAACTCTGTACTTTCTCTAAAGATAAATTTCTTCAAACTTATCAAAAGTTTCCACTGCTCTACGGCATCAGATATTGTGGCATTTTTCTTCTGGAGTATATCCAGAGCAACAGCAATAGGCTTCA